GAAAAAAAAAAAAAAAAAAAAAAAAAAAAAAAAAAACACAGGGAAAAGCCCCACATCCACATTACTAACTTCCCCTGAACTGACGCAGAGCTCTGGCTGGGCGATACGCTTAAGCTCACTCCAGCTTGGCTACCTACATGTGGTGAATGAACCACAACCTTGCCCTGGCAGAAACTCAAAAAGATACAAGGCCTTGGGGTCATAAAACATGAGGACGGATTTCACAAGGGCAGATTTCATACTTCATTTGGGTGAGAAACCCCAGAAAGCAGATTCCTGGGCCCCACCCCAGGTGATCCAGACTTTCAGAAACCCAGCTGTAGCCTCACAGGGCCTCATCCTAGACCACTCCACTGGTTAGTGATAACCTGGGAACTAGAGCGTGGTTTTCTGTACCCTAGTCTCTCCTACACTGGATCACACTACCTCCATTTGTGTTTCATCTCTGTGTTATTTTTAAACAAGTGTTCTCTTGCACATCTGTGGCCTGTGTGTTTTAGGATGCACTGACTCACAGCAGTGTGTCATAAATGGCTTTCAGAATCCACCTGCCTACATATCCCAGATTTTCATCAGGTTTCAAACATTACTCAAGTACCTGAACCTTCTAGATCGTATGATCTTTCAGAAATTTTTTGTGGTGATTATCTTGTTTTTATTGGGGCTATCATTTCTTGATATTGTCACTGACGTATCAGTAAAGAATACATTTTTCTTGGCTAATCAAGAAAGTTTGTTTCTTGAAAACTTTGTATTTCTCAAAGAAAAAGGTGTTTAGGATTGTTATTTTATTATTTTTTTTTCTTTCAGGGATTCACAGAACTGCTTCCTATTGATTTGATTAAAATTTTTGATGAAAATGAGTTGGAGGTTTGTATTATAAACATCATTTTATGTAAAGTAGGTTTTTAAAAAGTATCTCTCATTACCAATGATATTTTAATAGTCTGTGATCCACAATGTGCTAGGAGTAAGTTCAGATTAATTCTATTACATGTCTCCTGGGGGGCTTGTTTGCTGATTTGGGAGTAAGAATAGTAGTCAATCGTAGATTCCTGGCCCATGAGAGGGCAGTTCTGGAACATACCAAATAAGCAGAGGCCCACTGAGCTGAGTTGGGTTCAGGGGCCTGTGTACCAGGCGAGGGAAATTGCTGCGTGAAGTGGAGCCAACGTTTGCAGCAGCCTTTTGGGGTAGCCGTATCCTGCTTGCAAGACCAGGCTGGCCGAATGTCTTGTGTTGCCTCACCATCCGTGCCATGGCAGCCAAGTGGGGGACTTGGCTGTAAGCATCTACTGGGGGCCGTAGAAGGGATGTCTCATTGAACTTGAAGTGATTTCTGTTGAGTAAGGAAAACATCAGAAAGCAACAAGGAAGCACCAGAAAGCAGTTTAATAATTGCCTGTTTCAGAGTCTTGGTGTTGATGTAGATAAGAGGTAGTAACTTACGAACCAGAGGACTATTTCATCCTTTGTTGTGTCAAGAGAAACAGAAGGAAGAAGGCTAGGTCTTTGGAGAAGCTGTTGTTGGGACTCAGTTGGCCACTTGTCCAGGCCATATCCAGTGAAGCATTTCTCACATACTGGCTTTCTGTACTTTAACCTTAAAATAGAAACTTCAAGATAGATGATGTCATAGAAATCATACAGTGCTAGCCTTTCATTGTACAGGCGGAGAAAGCAAGTCAGGGAGAAGTTAATGACCTCACAATTCACCCAGCAAGGTTTTGGTACAGTCAGACCTAGGAACCTGGTTGTCCATCTTCTGTTTTAGATCTCTTTCCATGTTGTTCTGGTACCTCTGCAGGAATGTCTTATTCATTTGTCCACAGGAAGCCTTCCCTACTGGAGAGTTACATAATAAGAAAAGCAAATCTTAGACTAAGTAAGTCAGAGAACCAACTTACCAAAGAACTGCCTTATCAAAGTTCTTATCAGATAACTGCCTTAGTACAGTACATATGTGTAGTCCCTAGGCCTTTGGACAGATGAGGTGATTTGTCATCACCTGAATTGATTGATCTGGGGAAGATGAGTTCTTGCATTAATTCTTTTGTAGGTAGGGAGAGATTTTCAAGTAGTCAGCAAGTAACCTCTCAGGAGAGGAAACAGCCAGGATAATGTGCATATTCTAATGGGGTGTAAGAAAACCCATGGGCACACTGCTTAAGATTAGAGGAGTAGAGAAGAGGATTGATGTGGAGTTTTTATTTCCAATATGAAATGTTGTGACCTTGTCCAAGGGTTAGAATTCAGTCACCCTCATTAATCTTTGTGATCTGCTGTGACAGGTAACATTTGGAACACATATCCATCTGCATTGTTTTTATGAATTGCTAGCTTACCTGCTTTGCACAATGACACAATGCTGGCACTGGGGAAAGGTAATTTCTCAGCTGTGATTTCTTTGGCTTTCACATCCTGCCTTGTTTACATCTGGTAAATTTCCTTAACAGTTGCTGATGTGCGGCCTCGGTGATGTTGACGTGAACGACTGGAGACAGCATTCTATTTACAAGAATGGCTACTGCCCGAATCACCCTGTCATTCAGTGGTTCTGGAAGGTAACTCCAGGGCCCAGTCCCTGCTTCATGTTGCTCCACCTGACTCAGGTCTACAGCTCCATGCTTCCCTTTGCTTGGTCTTACTTTAGGACTGATGCTGGGTGTTTGGGGTCTGTTAGCATTTGGACTACTGGGGGAGAGAAGAGGCAAACAGCTAGAAACCCCTACTGCGGTTTTTCTGTAACTTTAGTGGACAGCTAAACTTGTTGAATAAGGTTTGATCCTTATGAAGGCACGCTGTCTTTCCTCGACCACCTGGTTAAAGCAACTTTTATTTGAGGAAGCCACAGAGTAAGATGATTTAGAAAAGGAGTTAATTGGCTTCAAGAGTACTGGAACTTAAGAATAGGAGGCTTCTCAGGACATGCTTTGGGGCTGGCTTTTCCAAGATGCCATTTTCTGTTAAGATATTGTTTTCTCCATTTTTTAAATTAATTCCAGCAAACATTTTGATCTTTGTATCTTTCAACCAAAATGCAAATGAAATTTGATTTCCATAGGGCCAGTGTTTGTTCCTTGTCTGGCTTGTGGGGAGGTAAAGTAGGAACAGGTGGGTCCAAGGGAGAGATGATTAACTTTTAAAAATTTTGCCCCCCAAAAGACTATTACTTACCAAAAAAAAGAAATTATTTAACTTGTTTTAATTTCTAAATGTCTTTTATTAATACTTCAAGTGCCAGAAGTACAGGGAGAGAAAAAGGCAGAATCTTCAAATCCTAGTCCAAGTCGCACTCAGCTTTGATTCTTGGGGGGGGGGGGGGGGGGGGGGGGGGGGGGGGGGGG